CCTGCACCACGACTCAGCTTCAAGCGAGCACTTCCCGACGACCAGGAGGCAGATCGCGAGCGCCTACGACTGCGACGCGAGGCTCTCAAGGGCAGTTCCATGCGCCTTCCGAGGGTACCGGACGACCCGATGGATCAGGAAGCACTCTTCGTCAAGGTCAGGAACCGCCGGAGGGGCGCGTATCTGTCCTGGAGGACCGACGCGACGAAGAAGCAGGTCATTCCCAAGAAGGGTCGGGAGATCCGCAGCATCCCACAGGAGTGGAAGGCGGCTTTCGACGCGAGCGACCTGGAGGAGTGGCGCAAGTGGGTCGAGTACGATGCAGTGGACTGGCCGACCGAGGAGGAGGTCGCGGGGGTGGACAAGGCGGCGATCCTGCCCATGAGGCGTGTTCGCACGGACAAAAACGAGGCGACGAGGGGCAACCTGTCGCACGGGCAACACCCGGTCAAAGCGAAGTCCTGGAACATTGTCCCGGGGCACAAGGACAAGCAGCTGCTCGCGGGCGAGTTGCAGACCAACGCCCCCGCTCTGACGGACACGGCCACGGCGGTGATTCTGCAGGAGGCCGCCAGCCAGTCGGGTTGGAGGCTCGAACAGGGCGACGTCGATTCGGCATTTCTGAACGGGAAGTACCTCCACACCTCTCGACGCGTGTACTTCCGCGCGCCGAAGGGCGGCCTGCCGGCTGTGCTGGAGATGGGCTGGCCAGCCGTTCCAGAAGGGACGGTGCTAAGAGCGAAGAAGGGGATCCACGGGCTGAATGATGCACCTCTATTGTGGCACGAGGAGCATCGCGACGCCATGCTGTCTCTCCCAGGGGCGTCGATCGAAGTTGCGCCCGGCACTTCCTCTTCCATGACGAGAATGAGAAGCTGATCGGCCTGATCAGGACGTACGTGGACGACGATTTGGTAGCGGGCTCGCCCGAGTTCTTCGCTATCCAGGTGACCAAGCTGAGGAAGATGCACTGCTACGGCAGGTGGCAGACGGTGAAGACCGGTTTCCATCACTGTGGGAGATTCTTCAAACAGAGTGACGATGGCACCATCACTTGTAGCCAGAGGGAGCACACCGAGAGCACCGAGAAGATTCCGATCTCAAACGAGCGCCGCAAGGACAAAGAAGCGAAGGCTACGCCCGAGGAGAGGGCGATGCTCCACAGCGGCAACGGCCAGACCCAGTGGCAAGTGCGATCTACCCGTATGGACTTGGCGTTTCGGCTGGTGGAGAGAGAGTCAAGCGAGAGCTCACGACAGCGACTTGAAGGTTCAGGGCCTGCTGGACTTCAACAAGCTGGTGAGCGACGCCAAGACGGATCACGCGGACATCACCTTCCAGAAGATCAACATGGACGACGCGATCGTGGTGGCGGTTGGAGACTCTAGCCATGGCAACGTGGGCAAGACGAAGACCGCGAGTCAGGCGGGCCTGGTTTTCCTTCTCGCAGACAACAAGGACGATCAGTTCCTTCGCGGGAGGCCGGCCAAGGTCACTCCTATGTTGTGGCGATCGCACCGCATCAAGCGGGTGGTGCGCAGTACCCTGGCGGCCGAGACGATGGCGGCGCTGGAGGCGGTCGAGAGTGGCGACATGCTGAGGCAGCACCTGGTGGAGCTGCACGACGGGCTAGGTTACCGGACCCACATGGACGACTTGAAGGCGTTCAGGATGGTGGAAGTTACGGACTGTAAGTCGCTATACAACCTGCTCCAGAAGCGAGGGGTGGTGCCTTCCGAGAAACGGCTGCTGATCGACATCGAGTCGCTCAGGAACGATCTGGAGTTCAACAACGTGGTGAGCAAGTGGGTGAGCACGAAGCAGATGCTCGCCGACTGCCTAACCAAGCACGACGTCCGCTCTGGCGACTACATGAGGTACGTGCTCCAGACCGGTGAGTGCCGGCTGACGGAGGATCTCATGGCGGACCAGATCATAGCCAAGCAGAGGATGGAGCTTAAAGGACGCAGGGGTGAATACTACCACTCGAAGTATCCCAAGAGGCAGCGACCTGCTGTCCAGCTCTTTCTTCACGAGGGCTGCACCTACTTCGAGGACTGCATTGCGGACGTGAGGTACAATGCGCGCGCGGCTCAGCCTGCTCCGAAGCCTTACCTCCGTTGGTGGATGATGCTCGGGCAGCGCGAGGACGATATCTATTACGAGAAGCTCGAGGACATGGTCGACTGGCCTGGCTTGGACCAGGTGACGAAGCGTCGGAGGATCCCGACCCAGGTGCGGAAGCTGCTGGCGATCTATGCATCGACCAAGGCGGCCCTCAAGCGTTACGTGAAGGACTTCACAGAGAAGCACACCATCAAGAAGCCGAAGGTGACGGATGATGACGACCCCAGAAGGAGCTAGGTGTCACTGAGGAGCTTGGTGCGCACGTGGAGTCGGGCGAGAATGCGAAGTTGGATAGCACCGACGTCGCGGAGATCTACATGATGGACGCTGCGGGTGCCGAGTCTGAGGAGATCAAGTCAGGCGCCGCTGCGGCTGCGACGGTGACGGCGTGCGCTTTGTGCCGGATGACGCTGGACCAGTGCGAGTGCGGACCGAGGACCCGCAAGAAGCGACATCGGGCGTCTACCTCTGCGCGTTCCGACGATCTACCTGCTGTAATTACTTGATGACGAAGATGATGACGAGGAAGCAGGGACATGGCAGAAGGTACCGCGCCGGCGCAAGGGACCTACTACACCGACGAAGAAGGAGACGCTGAAGGCTCGCGCGCTACACGAGAGGACAGGACATGCATCGCACGAGAAAATCGCGGACGAGTTCGGCGACGTGATAGAGGACGGTGTTCTAGAGGCGCACGAGTTGGTGGTCAAGAGCTGCGACGGGTGCCGTCGGGGAAAGAAGACCTACGCCTCGATGCAGCGCGGAGCCAAAGGCAGTCAGTTCGAGACGTACGAGTCCACGAGCAAGGCCAAGGGCAAGCTCAAGGGGAAGCAGTTTGCCAGAGACCGCTTAGGCGACTGCGAGCACAATGCGACGACGACACAGGGTAGCAACCAGTACAAGGATAAGCTCAGGTGTCTGCAGTGTGGCATGCTGCTAGTGGACACGGACACGACGTGGTGGAAGCAAGAGAAGGAGCATCGCGAGATCGAGTAGACTTTGCGTACCAGCAAAGAGAATGAGATCAAAGCCGAGATGAAGGTCATCCGCCTCCGTGACATGCACGAGAGGAGGACGAAGGAGGCCAGTGAGTCAAGCAAAGGAGCGAGCTCGGCAGATACGTGATGTACTACTACGCCGTGCGCAACTACGACGCCATTTTGGCAATCAGCACGGGCGTTGCGTTGTTTGCAGCGACTCCTGCCTTTTTTCTGTTGGACTGGGTGCTGTGCTCAACGCTCGCCTGCTACGTGTCACGCTTAGTTCGAGAAAATAATAGGAGTGTGATTTCTAGAGATTTCTGGAGGGCTTGCTCTGGAAATATAGAATGTGACAGATGACTAACATGCGTGCGTGCAGCGCCGGCGCTTGGGCTCGAGCTGTGAAAGGCGCGCTCCTCCTCCTCGCAGCAGCAGCAGCAGCAGCGGGGCGGCAGGAGCGATAGTGGCCACGGCATTTCGACAGAGTTTGAACTGGGACGAACCTCGCCGACGAGACGATCGAGCGAGGGTGAGCTCTTGCGAGAACGAGGGGGCCCGAAGGTTCGAAATGTCCGGCATGGTTCCTCCTGTGGGCCTCTCTTGGCGCAGTCCCGGGGCCATCTTGGCCAGTCTTGAGGCTGCGTGAACCGTGTCGAGGCTCTCTGGGGCTGTCTTGGGGCGATATTGGGAGCCCGTGTGGCCTGGACGTTGGAGAGCTGAGCAGGCGAATCGGGTAAACAATTTACGTTTTGCTGAGGGAATGGGCGATGTGTGCCTTTTGCGGAGGCGTCTCTTGGAGCGTCTTGGGGCCTCTTGGAGACTTCCGGAGCTTCCTCAGGGCGTCTGGGGGCCGAAGGTTCAAAATGTCCGTTCTGGCACCTCCTCCTGAGGCCGTCTTGGCCAGTCTTGGGGGGTCCTGGAGCCGCCTTCAGGCCCCTTGGGCCTTCTTGGAGCCTTGTTGAGGGCCTCTTCCGCGGTCTCAGGCGATCTTGGGAGCGTCTGGGGCCGTCTTGGACGCTACGAAAGCTGAGGAGGCGAATCCGGAAGTTCACGCTTTGCGACCGGAGTGGGACGATGTGTGCTTCTTGGAGCTCTCTTGGGGGCGTTCTTTGGAGCCTTTAGGGCTCTCTTGGAAGCTTCCGGGAGTTTCCTCGGGGCGTCTGGGGCTTCTGGTTTCTCTTGCGGGCCCCTCTTTGCGCAGTCCGGAGGCCGTCTTGGCCAGTCTTGGGGTTTCCTACAAACGTCTTCAGGCTCTCTGGGGCTGTCTTGGAGCCTTCTTGGGGGCCTCTTCGGCTGTCTTGCTGAGGCCGTTTTGGACGCTGCATAGGCTAAGGAGGCGAATCCAGTAAACAGATACGCTTTACGAAGAGAGTGGAACGATGTGTTGCCTCTTGGGACTCTCTGCGGAGTCGTTTTGGAGGCGTCTAGGATATTGTGAAGCCCTGTTGGGCCGTCCGGAGGCCATCGTAAACATTTGGCAGCGATCTGTGTGCGACTCGGAGCCTCCTGGAGCCTCTTTGAGGCGTTCGTGGAGCGAAGCGGGAGCCGCCAGGACCGCGCCTGGGAGTTCCGCCATCTCTGAACGGGGGTATGCCGGGTGTTCGTCCGCGTACTTTTCGTTTGGGGATCCCCAGGGGCCGCCCGGCGTGCACGAAGTTGAAAAATTCGGAATCTATTGCCGGAGATCATAGCACGCCTTTGGCCCGCTGGGCCGGCGAACTCGCCATCTCTCTCTCTCTATGTATATATATATATATCTATATAGGTATCGTTCTCCCTTTTTTCCCCCTCTCTCTCTCTCTCTTTCCCTCTTTTGTTTTTCTCTCCTTGTTTGTTCTCTCTCTCTCTCTCCCTCTTCCCCTCTCTCTCGATGTAATGCTGTCTCCTTCTGAGGACACGCCGAACGTCGCGCGTTTCATCTCTGCCAGTGAGGGCGGCCAGAGCGGCTTCTTTAGCTGCGAGGACGCGGGCGAAACTGGAGAGCGGGACGTTCCTAGAAGGTCGCTGCGCAGCTGCGTGTGTGCGGGCGTGAAAGGGGGAGGTGGAGGGCTCTTAGAAGAGAGAGGGGGAGGAGGAGGGGGAGGGGGAGGGAGGGGGAGGGGGAGCGAGGGGGAGGGGGAGCGAGGGGGAGGGGGAGCGAAGGAGTGGAAGTGGGAGGGGGAGGGGGAGTGTCAATCCTAAGGTCGCTCGAGACCTCTGAAGGGACCCTCCGGGGGCCTTGAGATCTCACCTCTGGGCCCTCCGGGCCCCACGACTAGGCCCTCTGGGCCTCTCACGAGAAAGCTTGCTTGTTTTCCCACGCGCACCCCCAGGCGCGATCCTCAAGCAAGTTTGTGCCCGAAACGGCAGCGGAGCAGAGGCAATGAGACCTGAAGATCAGCAGTATCGACACTCCCCAAACTTAAATGTGGCCTCAGCTCACGCTTTCGGGCGACTATGGCTGAGCTGGTGGCTGAAGGCTTACGCGACAAAAAAGGAGGACCCCAGCAGAAATCCCCGGCATACTCCTCGACTACGGCTCAGCGACTACGACTGCGAACGGATGGCCCCGATCTCCGAGACGGAGGTGACGACGCCGGCTGGTACAAGCTGCCCATGGAGTGGTCGTCATCCGCGGGGCTCTCAGTCGTGATCTTCGGAGCACGGTCGAACAGGTCCTGCCAGTTCTCTGGGTGGTCGTTGTCGAGCATCTCGGCCTGCAAACCACACTCCTCCACCAAGTAGCGAAGCACCTTGTCGCGCCACAGCGGAAAGTCCGCCAGGCTCTCGCAGACACAGAGCCCGATGTCCCCGATCCCGTTGTGGAAGTCGGCCTCCTTGGGCAGGCGCAGCGTACGCACTGGCTGGTCTGCACCACCCTGACCCTCGCCACCCACCAAACCACCCCAACCCAACCCGAAGGGTCTGATTTACCCTCGATTTCTAGTAGGGGGGGGTCCGGGAACATCGAAAAAACACATGTGGAGCCCATACCCCCCCCAACCCGAAATTCGGGTCTTCGGGTTGGGTTGGGGTGGTCTGGTAGGTAGTCAGACCCGAAGCCTGACCCCCGAGCCCTGGGTCGTGGAGCCCTCCGCGTCGGACGTGAACTGGCCCCAGGCAGGGAGGCGGAACGAGCTCACCACGAGCGAGCCTCCCTCCAGAGCAGGAGGTACTTGGTCCTGGGCCAGCGCCATCTGGTACAGGCTCTCCAGCGCCTTCGCGCGGTCGAAGGTACGGTCCTCGATGGCCGCGGGCGTGTGGGTCGTGATGTTCCCCGTGCTCGCATAGTACGTCATGGTCACCTGAACCCTGGCCTCCTTGCCCGTCAGGCGGTCGTCCAGGCAGTCGGCGCGCACCTGGACCTTGAGGCGGTTGCTGGAGCCCTCGATGGTCCCTTCTCCCACCTCGGCGATGCTCTCCATGAAGCTCCGGACCCCCTTCGGATTGTTCTTCGCCTCGACCTTGACCATCTGGTGGCAGGTGGCATGCTGTGAGTTGCTTGCGTAGAGAGCGTTCCGCCGAGGCTTGAGCCAGAACGCTGCTCTCGTCGGCCAACTGATCGAGCCCACTCCGAAAACAACTTCTGAGAAGGTCCGCGGGTTCTGCCTTATCGTTTGTGAGGCAGTCTGCAAGCATGAGCGATGTCGGACCCCATCTCAACGTAGCACCAATTCTTCTCAGGCTCTCTTTACTGATAGCTATGTCTACGGCGCAGCGCTTATCATCGATACCAGCCAGACTTCCCATCTTGATCACATTGTCGTATATATATATGTATATATATATATATATATTATTGCGGTCGATCACTGCCAGGATCTGAAACTTTCCGAGATACCTAGACCTGTCTCCAAGAGAGACACCTTTGAAGAAACCGATCGCGAAGAAATTCATGGCCTACTCCAGATGCCCGAGACCGTCCGTCATGACCGAAGACTCCCCAGCCAGAGTAGACTTCACCACCCTCTTCATCCGATAACTCCTCCAGATCGTCGGACTCCACGGCGCCACTAGACCCTTCTCCATGTCCCGATTCGTGACCCCGATGATGTAGCCCCCCCTGGGTGTGCCCCATGTTAGACGCCTACTTCCTCCTTCGACGAGTAGTCCGAGTGGAGAACGAAAGTGAGCTCCTCGATGGGTATCGATGGATAGCGGATTTCGAGATCGGCGAATTGCTGGGCCCGTCGGGCCAACATGTTTCCCCTCCGAATGTCGCCTACCGTAGGATTCGGCAGATGAAGTCTTTTATCTCTGATGGAATGGCGAGGGCATCCGCACCAGCATGCTGGCGCGTCGGGACCCTCTCCGTCTCCTCATTGGCGTACTGGCGCTGAGACTGCACGATGGTGTAGTCGGAGAGCTGCTGTAGCTTCGAGCCAACGAACTCGCCCTCCTGGTCGTTCCACTTCCGGTATGGAAACTTCGCCTTCAGCTTGGCGATGGCCTGAACCCACTTCGCGCCTCTTCCTCCGAACACTCCGTCGTCGACGTGCTGGCCGATGACCCCGCACAGGTCACCCGGGCGTGCTTCACGACGTGGTTCCAGACCCGAGCCCTCGATCACGCGGTATTCGTCCAAGTCGAAGTCAACGGTATCTCCGATGTCCTCGAAGAGCATCATGACGCACGGGTCGAGAGGATGCTGCGCGAAGCCCAGCTCCTCTGCGAGGTACTTGCTGAAGGTCAGCCACCAGAGCTGCGGCTGGTCACTGCGCCCGTAGCCGTTGATCACCTCGCACAATTGGTCTTCATGTATGTACGCCTTCAGGAAGGAACTCCGACGGCAGGGACACATAGATCGCCCCGTGCTCGGCGGGGGCGAGAGAAGCATCCGTCTCCAGGAAGGCACCCTCCACGTCACGGATGGCCATCGGGAACTTCGCGGAGGCGATGGTCTGCAGCAATTACGAACGCCCGGCCGTTGGACGACAGCGTCGGAGCCTGAGTCCTTCCAGCCCGCACCAGCTCCAGCAGGTCCGGGTTTTTGAAGCCCTGGATGGTCATGCGGCATTTGACCTCGTCCTCCCGCTCCGTTAGCACTGGCCGGGGTTTCATGATGCGCTCCGGCCTTGTCGATCGCAGCCGGCGTGACTCCTCCAGCGGTAGCGGGTGCCATGTTTTGGTCTTGTTGATCAGCTTGTCGTACTCCTTGGCGTACCCCTTGGCAATCTTCTCGAGTCCCGCCTCCGTCGTCCACTTTGGATCCTTTCGGTTCAGCTCCTTGCGGCCCCGCGCCAGCAGGACCTCCTCTTCGTCCACGGCCAAGATCTCATCATCATTCTCGCTGTCCTCGGCCACCATCACCGCCAAAGCCAACTGCGTCTTCGGTTGCTTGATCCGATCCGAAGCTTATGGAGAGGGGGCGCGCTTCACGCCCTGCCTGTGCACGCGGGCGCGCTTCGCCTCCTCCAGCGAGGTCTTCCCAGCGAGCCGCCTGCGAGGCCTGACGCTGTCCGCCTCCTCTGCCTGTCCTCCAGGTCCACCGACATCGTGGTCACCAGCCTCGGCCTCTCCTTCAGCATCCGGCTCCTGCAGCAAGTCCTCCGCATCATCCTCAGGGAACGGCACCTCGGAGGGGTCGACAGGCTGCTGCGCCACCTGCGGTTCGGGCCCTGGACCCGCTGCCTGTCTTCCATGGCGTGGGGAGGACTCCTCCCTCGCTGACACAGGAGGCTACTCAGCCTCCTCCCCTGCCTCCTCGGCCTCCTCCGAAGGGCGTGCCTCGGCGGTGATGTCGTGGTAGTACTGCGCCTTCATGCTGTCCAGGTCGATGCTGTGCGACCGCAGCGAGGCCTCGACGAGCCGCCACGCCGCGCGCTCCTCGGAGTTGGCCATCCTCAACTGCTCCGGCGACGCCTTCAGAACGCATCCCGGCACAGCGATCCAGTAGCTGCCACGCACCGCGCCGATGCACACACCTGGCTTCCACCTGTAGTGAGCCCTGCGATTCTGCAGGCCGCCTCCACAACCCTTCATCACCTTCCTCCAGACTGCCACCATGTCCCCTGGCCTGTACGTGATGTGGCGCCTGGGCCTCGCGCCCAGGGCAGCTCGGGTGGCGCGCCGGTCGTTGTAGCTCAACGCCTGACGTCCAGCGATGGCTCGAACTCGAGCCGCGAAGATGGCCGGTGGGCCATGCAGCACCGCACTGTTCGCGACGATGTCCGGCGAGTCCACCAAGAGGTCCTCGGGCACCTCGGGGTTCCGCCCGAACACGATCTGTGCCGGGCTCACGCCGCCGACGCTCAAGAGGGAGTTCTTCGCCTCCTGAACCTGGGCCACGCACTCTCGCCACTCCCCCCGGTCCTGCGGCTGGACCTCCGCGATCACGGCGCGCAGCATCTGGGCGAACCACTGGCGATGCCGCTCCACCTTCCCGTTCTGCTCCTTGGCGCCTCCGGCCGTGTCCAGGATGATGGTTCCATCCCGCTCCATGGCGCTAGTGAACACCTGGGAGACGTGGGGCTTGGCCAGATCCAGTCGAAGCCACTTTGGACGCATGTAGGGTCTCGTCCAGTTATCGCGGTACATGCGGAGCAAGTCGCTCGCCTTTTTTTTCGTCGTCCTCGTTGAAGGGCGTCATGGACTGCAGCGACGACGTGTCACAGACGATGTTCAGCGCCTTGATGGTCTAATGTGGCAGCCATCCTGGAAGCTCCTTCACGTCCATTCTGATGGACCGAAGGTGTGGCTGTGCGATGTCAGGAGCGGCCGGTCGAACTGGTTTCGGGTCAGCTTTCGCCTCGCACTCGTCGCACCTGAACTCCGACGCCATCTTCAGAGCCTCCTCGGTCGCGTTGGCATGCCTGAGATGCCTCAGCATAGTCGGCACCGGGGCGTGGCCGAGGTTGACGTGCAAAAGTCGCAGGCCAGCCTCGATGCTCTGGGGCCGGCCGTGGAACAAGGGGTCGTTGGTCAGACGCTCGCCATGCGCCTCCTTCTCCTCCTGGTCCTCCGCGCCCATCACCTCCGAGACCTTCATCACCTCCTGCACGTACGACCGACTAGCACCACGAACGAGGGCCCTCACGAGCCGATCCGGGTAGATCTGGGACCACACCGATCGCTTGACCCCCGCCGCGCTGTCGATGACCTCCTGGTGCTCGTGACCCCCGAGGCACTGGCGATCCACCTCCTTCACCACCTCGGGCATGTCCGACATGAAGCGCCAGCGCTTGGCCAGAGGCTATCCTGACACCAGATCGCCCTTGCCGAACCTGCATGCCGCAGCCTCCGCCACGTAGGGAGCCTCGTCGATCAGGAAGTTAACCATCTCCTGCAGCCCCCCTGCTGAACTTGCCCTCGACTGCTCGAAAATGTAACGTCTGCCCCGCGTTACCTGCCACGTCGCAATCTCCAAGCACAACGCGATGAACGAGATGGCCTCCGCCCGCTCCTCCTCGAACTTCTCCGGGCCCCTCCGCTTCTCCTCTGGCGTGAGCCCTTGAAGCGGCGACAACATCCCACAGGGCGGCGTCAGCACGACAACGAACGGGTCCTTTTCCTCCAGGTCGCGGACAGCTGCTCCACATGCTCGCGCTGGCGAGCGTCCCAGCCCGTCTCCAAGTCGTAGGCACCGCCGTCCACGAACCCAAACTCAGTCGCCCTCCTGGTCAGCCTCGGTGGAGAGAAGATCTCCATGATGACTGGCGCTCCCTCCTCCACTGTCTGGGCGACTGCCAAGGCAGCGGGTGGTGTCGCAGAGGCCTGAGGGCAGCGGCTCGGCCCTACTGAAAATTCCGATCCACGAATGGAGTCACCGTCGAGCCGTCGAGGGGAACCTCGTAGTGGCCGCCCTTCGTCGTCTGCAACTGCACCCGAGCCCCCAAGGTCTTGATGATGAGCTGATCGTTCTCCATGTCGAGCAGGCATCCCATCCTCTTGAGCAGCGGCTTTCTGAGGAGAAGCCCAGCGCCTCCTGGAACCACGTACACCTCGATGGGCTCCACGTGCTCGCCGATGGTCCACGGGACGGTGCAGATCCCGACGGAGTGCTGCTCTTCGCCACTGAACCCCTTGAAAGTCACCACCCGGTGGCCCTTCACGAGCTCCAGCGGCAGGCCCGTCGCCCTCCGGTGTTCCTCCAGCGTCTCCTCGCCGATCAGCGCGCGCGCAGCCTGGGTCGATGACGCCCGACCCCGGCGAGTGCACCGGGAGCGCCTCCAGCTGCTCGTCGGCGTCCTCGAACTCCACCTTGAGACGCCTGAAATGGTCCTCCGTCTGGTGCTCGTGCAGCGTCCGGTCGTCCCACGCTGCCAAGATGTCCTCTATCTCCTCCCACGCGTCCGGTCTGACCTCCCCCTCTGCGGCGTAGAAGCTCTCGACGAAGTTCGTCCCGAACTTCTGGCCTGGTGGTCCGCGCGGTCGAGAGTCCTCCCAGTCCTCCCGACATACTCCCTTGGGCTTCCTGGGGCGCTCCTTGCTGAAGTGACCTTCTTGACGACAGGCCCAGCACCTGACGCGCGACGAGAACTTCTTCAGATCGGTTGCCGGAGGTGGGGGCAAACCGCGCTTCTTGCGCTCCTCAGCAACAGCGACGCGTGCCTCTCTCCAGGTCGCCAGCACCTGGATGGCCTCGTCCTCCTCCAGCGGCTCCTCCCGGCCCTGCTCGACCTCCGCCGGGAAGACGTCCACCTCCTCGGCGCTGTTGAGCTCCTCGACGACCTCTCCCCAGTCAGGGTCACCCTCGACCACGTGCACGCCGTGCTCCGGCAGCATCCTCGGGTAGGCGGTCCTCAGCGCCTGCGCCAGCTTGTCGAACGTCCACTGGTGCTCGCTGGCCGCGAGGACCACCGCGCGACGGTCCCCGCCGAGACGAGCTCCTCGCAGGAGGAGGAAGCCCTGGGCAACGTCAGGGATCTCGACGCCCTCCTTCTTAGCCTTCGGGAAGATGGTCTGCGCCCGGCCCACGTAGGCGCTCGTCAGCTCGGACTTCTCGATCTTCAGGCCGAACATCGACTCGAGCGCGTCACCGACCCGGTCGGCCGCCTCACGCTCGGGGCAGCGCGAGTCCAGAACCTCGAAGAGCCTATCCTCTCCGCTCTCGACCGCCAACTCCTCCAGCTCAACGTGCTACAGCGCGTCCACGGCGATTCCCTCCAAGAGGGTGTAGAGCATGGGCCCGACCGTCTCGGGCTTCCCGCCGCGCCCCTTCCCAACCAGGAGCCGCGCTCTCGCCCACTTCTTCCAGGCCTTGTAGTCCTGCACAGCAGAGGCACCTTCTCCCGAGAACTTGCGGTCCCGCAGGCCGCCGCCGCCGCCGTCGTGATCGGACATGGCCGTACTCCGTGAGCTGGCTCAAGCTTGTGTCAATCCTAAGGTCGCTCGAGACCTCTGAAGGGACCCTCCGGGGGCCTTGAGATCTCACCTCTGGGCCCTCCAGGCCCCACGACTAGGCCCTCTGGGCCTCTCACGAGAAAGCTTGCTTGGTTTCCCGCGCGCACCCCCAGGCGCGATCCTAAAGCAAGCTTGTGCCCGAAACGGCATCGGAGCAGAGGCAATGAGATGTGAAGATTAGCAGGATCGACAGGGAGGGAGGGGGAGGGGGAGGGGGAAGGCCCCGCATAGCATGTGCAGTTCAGAAGCGTCTGATATGCTTGTGTTCTGGAGCACATGCGCACACATCGCGCTTGCGTATTTGTTTCATGATGCAAACGCGCGCTCACGCTTGTGCAACCAATCGCCAAAACACTGCAAACTTCAGAGCAGGACGGCGTGGGTTGCGCCCCTCCCCCCCCCCCACACACACACACGCACACACACTACACACACACACACACGCACGCGCACGCACGCACGCACGCACGCACGCACGCACGCACGCACGCACGCACGTACGTACACACACACACACGCACGCACGCACGCACGCACGCACGCACGCACGCACGCACGCACGCACGCACGCACGCACGCGCGCGCACGCACGCACGCACGCACGCACGCACGCACGCACGCCCCCCCCCCCCACACACACACACACACACACCACACACACACACACACACACACACACACGCACGCACACACGCACGCACGCACGCACGCACGCACGCACGCACGCGCGCACGCGCGCACGCGCGCACGCACGCACGCACGCACGCACACGCGCACACGCGCACACGCGCACACACACACAGACACACACAGACACACACACACACACACACACCCGCGCGCACGCACACACACACACACACACACCGAGGCACCTTCATGCCTTTTATGCATGGTCCTTCATGCATGGTTGGCGTAAGTGCCAGGGGCCGTTGATCTGCGCATCTCCCCGTCCTCTCTCCTCAGAGCCTCAGACGTCGCAGTTGTTCGTGACGTGGGCCCCATGGATCTCGATCCCCCGAGTCGTGCTTGACGGCCCCAAGGCTTAGACACGGCCCCCAGAGGCCCAGAAGGTCTAAAGTTAGCCATCGCGATTCTTGTTGCGACGCCCAGATCCGAGGGTCCTCTGGTTTATGGTACCCAGACCTCTCAATCAATTCCCCACGGGCCAGCTTTCCAAGCGGCCTCCAAGAGCCAAAAATGCTGAGCCAATTCGAGAAAAAGACTCGACGGGAGCCCAAGGCCCCACCTTTGCGTTGCATTTTTCGAGGCAGATCGGTCCACAAGGCTCCCGGGACCCGAAACATATCGAAGTCTTTTTACGACGCAAGGATCTCAGGGCCCCCCAGTGGCCCTTTCGCCCAAGCCCGTGGCCCAAAAGAATGGCCGCGCGTCGCGATGCCCCGATGGGGCGCTCGTGGGTTGCTCTGGGGCGCTCTTGGGGTCGTTTTTGAGCCCCCTCGGTCTTGGACAATCTTGGAGCCGTCGTGCGGCCTCCGTGAAATGTACAAATCCCTTGTTTTCATTCGGTTAGCTAGGATGCAGCTCCTGACAGGTTAAACAATGAAACGGTGCTCGTATATCCCTTGTCGAAAACTGGCCTTATCCGACCAGCCCCGCCGAATCTGGGTGAATCCCGCCAAATCCGGTGCCGTCCCAGGCTGAATCCAATGTGCAATCCCGGGCGCAACCCGGCCTATACGGCCCAGCGGCCGTGGAATATGCCTCAGGCCCCCATAGAACCGTTCTGGCGACCTCCCACGAGTTGCCTCCCAAGGTTTGGGAGGGATCTCCGCTCCTGCCGCTTCGCCTGCCCGGCGGACGCCAGGACGACAGCGACGCCTCGCCCCTCGTCGCCCCCAGGGCCGCGCGGCACGCCGAGCCCGCGCTCCGCGGCCCCCTGTTCGAGGAGGAGGGCGACGAGGACGCCGCAGGCCCGCACGAGGAGGTCGAGGCCGACGAGGACGAGGAACCGCGGCCTCCTCCTCCTCCTCCTCCTCCTCGTCCTCCTCCTCCTCCTCCCCTCCTGCTCATTCTCCTTCCCTCCTTCCTACTCCTCCCCTCCTTTCCCCGCGCGCGGGGGGGGAAGGGGCACGCCCGCAGATCCCGGCGCACGCCTGCGGCATCAGAGTGTCGTTTTTTTTGGATTTGGGACCGTCAGGAAACCTTTGAGGATTCGAAGAAGCTCCTCTCGGAGTTCTTGGATAGGCGCTCGGGCCCCCCCGGCAGCGGCTCTGGCGCCGCCCCTGGCGCGCTCCTCGAGGAGGTTCCAGCGCAGATGTGAGAAATCCGCGCGGACCATCGAAAGTTCATGTTCATGCTTTAGTTCCCTCTGGAGTCGAGATCCCTGGGGGCCCACGTCACAAAAAGGTGCGCTTAGTCCCTATTCGAAGAATCGTGGCCAAGCCATCGCGATAGCAGCCGGAGCTACAGTTGGCCAAGCTCGGACCAACAGCTCAATCGATTGCTGACGCGATTGCTGCACCGTCGCCAGGGCTGCCAGCCACAGCATAAACATTAGACATACAGCATAACGCTGAGGAGGTCCTCCGCAGCAGTCTTCGAGTAGGAGATCGACTACATAATTGCTTTATCCCAAACTTGACATTTTCGTCTGATCTGCGAAACAATGTGTAGAGTTCTTTCGTAGATCTACACAAATTCGGACAAACAGATCAGTGTTGGGGTACATCATTGGGGTACATCAGTTCTGTAGTCGATTTCCGACTCGAAATCGAAGCTTCACACCGTAGGTTCGCGCCGCGTTGACGCGCCGGCGACGACAGGTCGGTCGTTCAAGCTTTTTCCAGCGCCCGTGGCCCAGAATCGGCCGATGTCGAGCGATCTGCGCTATCGGAGAGCCCCGATCCTCCAGGGCTGAACGAACGATTCCTGTGCGGCGTCCAAGACCAGCGCCCAGGTTGTCACCGCACGAGCCTGCCGCACACCCATTCTGCAGCCGATCTCCTGCTCGAAGTCCGAGCTTCATAGGCTCTCGCTTCACATCTCGGGAGAAGGGATAGGATGAGGAGAAGGAGGAGGAAGAGGAGGAGGAGAAAGTGTGAAGTGAACCCGTGTAATACCCTCATATATACTCCTTACTCTCCTGTCTCCTGGCCGTTTGGGTTCAGGTATTGGCATTGATCATATTTTTGATCGATCAGGAGGGAAAATATCCCCATCTTTCCCTCCTTCCTCTACCTACGGATCGGGGGTTCTGTACTTTTGTATTCTAACCCCATACACAGGTTATCAGCCCTTAATTAAAGCTCACCATACACTGAACCTGCGTCGCGATCTCGCTCGCAGCCCCGATGGAGCCCCGACGGCGCATGCGCCGTAAGGGATCATTCGAGGCTTCGCGTCCGAGCTCTCCGACGGCGCGACGGCTCGGTGATGAGTTGGAGAGCCTTAGAGGTGACCGTGTGGGTGTCCCTGATACCCCCCCCCCCCCAGCTCCGACGGACCCGAGGCGCGACTAGCTGCTGAACTTCGCCGCCACCCGCCAACGGGGGGACAGGAGAAGGAGTAGGAACAGGCATCGGAGGATTTCACACGCCGACCTTCGACCCTCCATCTCCTCTTCCTACGTCGGGGGCAATCCCTACTGCGTCGGGCGCAAGCCCCACTGGTCCCGACACTCCAGGGCGCTTCCGCGCTAACCGCCGTTGGACCAACAATGCTGGCCCAGCCAGCCCAGCGACTGTTCCAGCGTCGGCACACGCGGCCGCCTTCGAGGAGCTCGGTAGACCAGTGGCGGCACAACCGCAGACGCAGCGTCCCAAGGTATCATCATCCCGTCAGACACCACACACGCACGGCCCTAGCCGCAGCTCGTCCATGCGCAACCGTCGCGAGGCCGCAGGCCCCTACGACGAGACTAGGTCGAGCCCGCGCGCGGCCTCCCAGAGGCCACGCGCTCCTCGCGAGAGGGTGCACCAGGGAGCTGACGCTCCTCACCTCTTCCTCTCAGACGACCTGCCGACGGCCACGCCCGCTGCAGGTGACCTTGCTGAGCTTCGAGACCAGATTGAAACCTTCGTGTCCAGGCAGTATTCTGGACTGGTGCAGAGCGTACAGACGAACGCTGCACACACTGCTGCTCTACGTCAAGACTTCGATGGCGCCTTAGCGATCATAGATTCCAGGATCGCTGAAGATCGTCGTATATAGGAGAGCTGCAGTTTCAGGCTGACCGTGAGATGTCATATTCAGGTGAACGGTCTGCGACGGTCGAGCACCTGCGCAACTACCTTGCGCAGATGGAGCAACAGCTTGTGGTCGTCCGCGACACAGGAGTTTCTGCGGTCAGGATCCTACACGATGAGATCCATGACTCCGACACCGACCGCCCCCATCCGAGGCGCGCGACCTCGGTGACGCCCAGTCCCAAAGCAATGATCTTCGACCTGGTCTATGAACAGCTCGTCGACAAGATCGAGGATAAAGCGGAGGCCACTGAAGCAAATCAGTTGCGTGTCGTGCAAGAGCGTGCTTCGCTGAACTCTCATCGTGTCGGACCTCGCCTTGACGATGCGGATGCCATCCAGCAGCGCAAAGGGTGGCATAACCAGACCGACCTGGATCGCATCGAGGTTCCGCCTGAGCCGCCAAGCGTTCCGCAGGCCGCCTCAGCGAGAGCACCGCCAGCACCGCCACGCGAGGCACCACCTTCTGACATAGAGCCAACGCCGGCCGCGAGGCCCGCTGCAGAATCATCTGCAGCCGAACCCGCGACGACACCGGCACCTCCGCCCAGCGCGAACAGACCGCCTTTGCCAACGGGCCCGCCATCGAAGGCCATGCCAGCCACGCGCCCCGACACGGGGCCGCCTACTGATCCCGCAGAGGATGCTGACATGGCTACGGGGCCGGAGGCAACTCCTGCTGACGACGTTCCTGCGCTCGCTCAGCAGTTGGATAAAATGCGCGCGCTTCCGTGGCAGGACTGCCGCGAGCGATCTTGCCACGAGGAACCGAGTCAATTCTCTACGTTCGACAACACGCGCGCGCCTCGTGAGTATAAACTTCGCGCGCGTTACCCAGATAATCACTACTACGCGCCCCCCCCCCCCCCCCCCACTTCGGGAGGCAGGAGGCATGCAGTGCATCGCCGACAACGACTGGGCAGCTCAGTTGGATTATGACGACTGCGTGATCATCCACGCTCCAGATATTGACCACTCTGGCTGCTTCCCAGAATACAAATGGATTTCTCTCCCACCATACAGAGAAACACCTGACGGTCCCGAATTGATATTGAACGAATATCTCGGCGACCCCGCGTACATGAGCAAAGACATTACGACTATGCTTTGCCATGTCAATTATATCAAGCACTCCAGCATCGATCAGTTCACTGATCGACGGATCAGCATATGGAGGAAGCGCACAAGGGTTGGATGGAAATTTGCCAGCCATTGAAAATCCTTCGAGGAAATGGTGGAGTGGAAATTCCGCGACCGTCGTGATAACAGCAACGGTCCGTCCACAGAAGCGGCCATGGCTCACTTCCTAAAAGACGGTCATCCAGCTGGATACGAGGACTGGGCGACTTACTACCCGATCTTTATCCTTCGCGCGTTCCAGCATTGGCCCAGAGAAGAATAGGATTGAGATCTATGGTAAACCACATTCCGCCGGGAGCAATCCCCGCTGCTTCGATTGGAGCAGCGTTATTGCAATTCGTTGTGTTGGAGGTCAGAGCTCGGTCAACCCGCGCTCCCAGCCATGGAATATGGGCTGGGAAAGCCTACAATGGACCGACGTAAAATATCTCCACCACGGCGCAGCATCCCGTGCTTGGAGCAACATTATGACAATGGGAATCATTCCTGGATACAGAGATCAGTCTCAGAGAGACAGAAAGCACAAGGAGGAGCCGCGCACATAAGCATTCTACAGTTCGAGTACGTACGTGATGGGTGCGCAGCCTAATCCTCATACATTTGTCACACCGTACAAATTTAAGCATTGGGAAAATGAGGTGGAGATCGTGATCGACATGCATATTGCCACGCAGTCAGGATGCAGATTCTGGCTTGGCGCGCAAGGAGCCATCATGACCGAGAACGTGGTTCCTTCTGCTGCAATCATTGCCGCTCGCCGTTGGAAGGGTGGCCGCGAGTGCGGCAAACAGCTGTGGCCTACAAAGGGACCACCGTGGGAATACCCACCTCTGGAGTGCCAGCGCGCACCAGTCAGCAAGTATGAGATGTGCGCTCCGCCTCGGCAGCAGTCGCGAAAGGAGCAAGTTGCCCAGGAGTTAGAGGCTGACATGATTGTCGACCCTCCTGGAGTCGCTCTGCCATCCCCGTCAGACGCGCACCAACCTGCGCCGGCGGCAACGCCTGCTGCGAAGGCTCCCCCTCTGGCGCACTCGCCAAAGCCTCTGCAGCAGATACAGACAGCCCAGATCAGTGCTTCCGATTCCGCCTCTGCGTCATCGGCACAGCAACCCCTCGCTCCCGTGCCGGGGGCAACCCCTGCTGGCCTTGCCACAGTTGCGGCAGCGCTGATCCATTCGACAGATGAGATTGTCGACCCAGATACTGTCGAAGAAGCCATTGTCCGCGCTATGGTCGGCAGGAGCACACACAACCAACAGGACAAGAGTAGGTTAATATCGATGGCGTGCTGCAGGGCGGCTCTCAGGCCGATCGCTGCCGAACTCACGCAAAGAGACTGGAACCGACGCCTGATCTTCAGCGACGTCCGTGTTGGAGATTTCATCTTCACGAAAAATTGGGGACAAAGCAACTGCTACCACTACAACGACCACTACCCCAAGGGCGACTACAACACCAGAGTCCGCATGAACAAAGGCCACATCTACGGCCCCGTCATAAGTTTCGGCGTCTTTGAGAGGTTCTTCGCGGTGCAGAGACCGACTCTTCACTACGGGTTACGATGGGTAAACATCTGGTACTGTGACAAAAACCTTCCCTTGAAGGGCATAGTTTTTGCTTTGCCCGTTC